CCTCTTGCAATATTTGTTTGAGTATTTTGGTTTCAAAAACGGCCGTTTTGGAAATCGAAAGCCCCAAGGTGAATTAAGAGAACGTAAGCTTATTCCCCTAAGGAAAGTGTGATAAAATAAGGGTGTCGACTGCAAAACCTCCCACATACACACACACACACTTGCTCAGAACAATCTTTGCAAATTCTGATGTGAAATGCATCGGACGTGCAAAAACACCAACAATAAAATGACACGAAGAATGATTTTTTTTACAAATATATATAGACGTATAATCACAGTAGACATTGACCGTATAAAACAACAGCGATAAGATATATGTCCCCCCAGCTGCGACTTATATGCGCCCAGGGCCGGGACTACACATATATATTTAGCAGGTACGTTTACACAGGAACATTGCAGCGTCTTCATTGGCCGCTGACTGCAATGTTCCCCAGCGGCCCCCTGCAGTAATATGAAGTTTTACCCTGAGCATCGCTAATTGATTAGAATCAATATATTGATTTTAAGCATTCAGAAATCAATTAACCAGATTGATTTTCAACCTTGATTTTTCAATTGTAAAACATAGCAAGAACTTCACCCCAAATCAATTAGCAAATCAATTGAAAGCACCACCCAGAGCAGCTCCATTTTTCATACATGTGCAGCTATGTACACACCCTTTCCAATGATCTGCCTTTCCCACAGCATGATCTGCCTTTTCCAAAGCATGATCTGCCTTTTCCAAAACAATCAGAGTTCATCATCACTTCCTATGTCTGTGCCACTTTCCAGGCCTCTGGTCAGAAGGAGATGAAGATGAACCCTGTACTTAGCAATCAATTTGGTGCTGATCCTGGTGGCTCCAACACCAAATGAGATTGAATGGGTCATCTTTGAGATGTGACCCACATAATCTTCTGCCCTGAAATTCCATTGCCGCCTGGGGTTCATATACCTGCTGTTTAGCAGTAAATGACAGAAGGTATGGAATTTCATTACAATGGCAAAGGAATTCCTGTCCTTTTCCAAGGACCAGGCATGTAGCCATTTGTAATCCAGCAAGAAATCTTTTCCAAGACTCAGAGCTTTTCCAAACTCTGGCATGGTGAGGAAGGTATCTGCTTCATCCCAAAGAGCCACCAACTTTTCCAAATTGGTGGCTGCAGAGATCATTTTGATCTCTTCTTCTTTCCTGGTGCCTTCAAACAACTTTTCCAAGACTGGCACCAAGGCAGGGAGGAGATGTTTTGCTTCCCCAGCCTTGCAATCCAAAGATGTTTTGCCAGCCCAGGGCTTGGCAGCATCTGTGAACATGGATAACCTAAGGTTAGTCAACCTGTTTTTGAGGTTTTGTTTTTTGTATTCTTCCTGGATTGCTTCAAAGATCAACCCAAGCCTTTTCCAAGGCTTCTCCTTACAGACCTTTCCAGGCCCCTCATACCAGCATGGGTAATGGAGGATGCTACCAATGAGGTGCCCATACACACCTTTGCAGAACAAAATATGCATGGGGTCACCCCTGACATTTTTGGCACTGACATGAGGCAGTTGGAACACAGGATGCTGTGACCAAGGGTCTGCCAAATGGTCAGCATGGGAATAAATTTCCCAAGTGGACTTTTCCAAATCCAGCTGCCTCATGCTTTTGTCTAGGTCACACCCTTCCCAATTCTGGCAATCACATTCCCAGCACGGCAAATGGCTAGCCCACTTAACCAGCTTCAAGGTGTTAGAGTAAAACTCATGATCACCTTGAATGCTGAACACTTGTCCTTTCCAGGACATGGGATGAAGAGGTTTCCCTGCTTTTCCAAGCAGCTTGGCAGGTAATGGCTTGCCATAAGGATCCTTTGTTGGATGAAACCCTTTTCCAAGAGCTTCAAAGGACCATTTCAGCCATTCCCAGATAGGCTTCCAGGTTTGGGCTGTGGTGCAACTCTTAGGCCAGCATGCCAGCAGCATGTGCTGCTGCATTGATGGCATGTCCCCCAAGAGGCAACCCCAGCTCCAAACCATCAGGCTATCACGGTTGTGGAACTCCACTCCATCCCCATGTAGAAACAATGGGATCACTCTGTCCCTCCAGTGCTTTTCCAAACACATGGGGTGGTCCCATATTCTATCATCTCCAACCTTCTCCACCCCAGCCCAGAATTTTTGCAGATTGTCTTTTCCAAGACAAAATGCTTTTTGGAAGAACATTGGGTAATGCTCCCCCAAATGTGCAAAAAGGAGATGGGGCAAGAATAGGCTGGCCCAATCTTCCTTTTCCAAAGAAGATTTGGGATCCAGACATGGCACCTTGACCTGAAAAGGTTCAGGCAACATGATGTGAGGGCAAAACTGGTTTATGATTTGCTTATGGCAATTCCCAGTTTGTGCACGCCAGTTGCCCACCTTGGCCAGGGAAACCAGCTCTGGATGGTCAGCACCATCTTGCATGGCCAGGTGGGCTATCTCTCTGATCATAGTGGCTGAAAGAGTGCCACATGACCACAAAGACAAAAGCTTGTTGGCCAAGCCAGAGTGAGGTTCATCAGGCCTTTCCAGGCCATGATCAGTCTTTTCCAAAACTGATTTCTTTGCTACTTTCCTTCCAGATTGCATTTCCAGCTGCCATCCCCTTAATCTCTTGGGTTGGTCTTTCTTGGGAGGCTTTTCCAAACCCTTCCTTCATTATTCTTGCAATGCTTTTCCAAGCACTGGCAAACTGGCTGCTGGCTTTTCCAAACCTTAAGCTACCAACAAAACAAAATTTGATGCTCAAAATAGCTGCAGCAAACAGGGTAGGGTCATGCAACACACACACACACACACTGATGGGTGAGAATTGAAATTGTCAAGCCATATCCTGAGATGATAAAGTCGCGCCTGGACGACGTTGGCCATTCGCATGAAGACGAAGTTGAAGAAATTGACATGCGATCAGTCAAACATCAAACAGTTCAGCAGGATGCAAAAAGTCAGACATCAAACAGTTCAGCAAGATGCAAAAACGTCAAACGTCAAACTGTCAAACAAGTGAGCGATCACGAAACTTGAGTTGTATCACGTTGACCTGTATAAGTTAAAAACCGTCGACCCTGGTCTACCACAGTCCGACAGCAAACAACACATGAGACAAGCCCCAAGCAAGGTTGAAAGCAAGAATCGTACGACACGCGTTCCGCGCGAACGTTTTACATCCGTTCCTGACCATGACTCCTGTCATACCTGACCCCATCTATAGCAGGTACGTGCAGTTGATCAGACTGCATATCCCCTCCAAACATCAGTAGCTTCGTTGGCCACGGACTGATGAATGGAGCCGTGGCCCCCTGCTGTGGATCGAAATTTGCGCATGTACAGAAGGAAAGCCAGGCGAAGGTTGAAAAGGAATAACCAACGCTAGGTGAAAAGTTTCAGGTCACATTCATGAAAACAGCATGACAGCATGGAGTTGTTCCATTCCCTATGTTTCAAGGGTTTACACACACACACACACCGCCCGAAGGGGGCCAAAAGTCTCGGTTTCGTATTGCAACTTTCTTGCAGGTTGAAATTCTGTTTCCTTGCATATTCATTACTTAAATTCCGAAACTATGCAAGTGGAATGACACACCAAGACAGCAACCCAAAAAGATGACTATTGCAGACCGTGCTCTGTCGATAAGCGCTCTTTTCTTTCAACGTAGAACAAGATCCGGCGGAGTACCTGTGAGAGCGTGTCCTGGTGGAGACATGTGGCCTCTCGAATCTTTCCAAGCAAAGGTCGAAACACAGTGCGAATGTCAGTCAGGTTCATGTGAGTACGAGTGGCGATAGCCACCAGGTCTTGCAATTGTGGCAAAATCAAATGTGGAGGAAATGTATATCTCAAAATCATCCAAATCCGTGCGGTCAATGCCGATCTAAGTGGTTGACGCGATCCTTCTGTAAGACCTGACCGGTATCGTGTCAGATCATTATCCAAACGAACTGTACATGTCCTCTGATCCAAGTCGATATGGCACCCCAAGAGCACGGGATCTACCACTTCTTCCAACAAGATTGGCCGACCGTAAAAGTCTTCACGGGTGAAAGAGTTCCAATGATATGAATCTCTCCAGAAGGGCATCCCTACCATTGCCCTGTTGTCCACATAGCGTGCATTGAGCAACAGATTATGTGAGTTGATGAGATCTCGGAATGCTTTCTGAAAACAATATTCTTGACATGCTGCAACAAGACCACACAGTGCAGGAGCGAAATGGGAGCCCATGGATGCTCCCTGAATTTGTTGAAAAAGCATACGTCCAATAAAGAAGAAAGAATGCGCCAAGAGGAAGTTTACAGCTGGAAAAACATGTTGGATATCAACATTGATGTACCGACCACCTGCAGCTCGATACCTTCCGCGAAACAAGCGAAGATGTCGATCATCATCTTTAGTATAGACACTGAGAGTGGAATCAGCAGGCAGTTGGTTTTTACACCGGTAAAGGTTGAGGGCAAATTGAATCGACTCAAGCATCCGGGAATGTGGGACAGAGTTGAAAAAACCCGACAAATCTTGTTGTTGAAAATCAAGTTCCCACTGGCACGGGACATCGCGAAATAACCGATGAAATCCAAGAATGATGTCAACCACTTTCCGGTCCAACGAAAAATCACCAAAAATAGAACTGATCAAGCTAAACACTAGATGCCCAATGAACTGTCCAAGCTTCTCATTCCAGGACAAAGTATATGAAATAATTGGTCTCGCTTTGTTGAGCATCTTGCTTGGTTTTGGAAGAATGTAGGCAGAGGGACAATGCCCATGAGCGTTCAATAACCTAAAAATATGAGAAGGCAATGTATCTTTGGCCACCCCAAGAATTCTCTCAAAAACAGTATGCCATCCAATCGAGCTGAACCGGAACACCTCTTCATCCAAAAACGTCTTTCGCAGCAACCAATGGTAGTGCACTGGACAAGATAGGTGTGCTTGATGAGGGTGATGGTCAGCTGGGCAAAGAATATAACCCTTCAATGCTTTCAAATCACGACAATGACTTCGCATAGATACAACCGTACTCTTCCTAGCATGCATCTTCCACATGTGTTCGGCTTGGTATGTCCAGGTCATCTCAAATCTTTCCGGAAGGCGCCAGCGTCGTCGCCATCGATGAAACTGGTCTTGAGCGTTCTCCATCCATTGGTTATATGTTGGAAAAACGGAATCTGACAGATTGATATGTCCCAGGAAAATTGATGGAAGAACGCTTGAAAGGGTGGCAAACATGTGTCCTGAACTCCTGAAAACCGTTCCAGTGAACAAGCCTTGACATCCAGGACACTGAGGTTCATCTTCAGCATGCCAGCCCCGCAGAAATTTCCGGAAGTTGAACACATGATTTTTCAATGGAGGATTCTTTTTGTACACAATGGAAGTGGATGGCAAATGAAACCATGGAAACAAACAAGACTGAGTAGTCACAAGTTCCCGCAACCAAATCCGACAAAGTTCCTTCACGTCCACAGCCAAAGAGTGCAACGTCATTGGGATGTTGGAGGGAGGTGCAGCCCCTCCTCTGAATTCTGAGCACTGAGTCAATGCCTTTTTGGCTCGTCCTTTCCATGGTTCGTCAATCTGGTGCACTAGACGGTATAGCAGATATAAGAACGGGAGACTTGTATGGGACGATCGCAACAAAGTAGCCGTGGTCAGTTTTGTGCGACTAGTGCACCCAAGACGATACAACAGTTCAAACAACGCCTGAGGTGATTTCCAGCTTTGGCGTAGAGCACAGTCATCCAAGCTCGTCTTTGCAAAAAATCCAAACGTGGAGATCAAACGAGCACCTTGAAATCCCAGCCTGTCTAGCCTGTCTACAAATGATGGCGCAGTGATTCCGCAACGTTTGAGAAGTGAGTTCACCATTGGATGATTCAGTTTCGGACGCCACTGTTGAATCAACGTAGTTTCCAAACCACGAAGTTCATATTCATCAGAACACTGTCTCAAAGGTAAAGCAATAAATTTGAAAAACAAATCGTAATTTCGCCAGATTCGTAGTGCTGGCTCAAAAAAGCCATCTGTGCCATGCAAAAGTTGTTTGAATTTCCTCATCCTGCTGTACTCTCTAGAAACTACATCCACCGTGGTAGACCCTATGTACCACCATGTCCGGTAGGAAAAGCCCAAAGATACACGCAAATATACCTGACCAGGAGTGAGGAAGTCATGTAGCTTGAAACGGTCATCCACCTGACAAGCCACCAAAAGTTCGAGGATTTTCTTATTGGTCCTGGGATCATTTTCCGAAGGAAGGCCAAACGATTGCCGAATCCAGAGACATCGAATGAACATGCCTGCTTCTAACCATAAGTAGACACGAAGAAGTTGGTGAGTACATTGATTAAACAATACCTCACGACCCAACGCAATCCACTCAAAAAAATAGGAGGCAGCACAGAAAGCCAAGCGATGTTCTGAAGTAACCACATCCATCTGATGTCGTCTGGCATACCGTCGAAAAACTTCACCAGGACTGATGGGGATGTTGAAAAGTCATTCGCGCAGGTGATGCAAAAGCACCAGCAACTTCAAAGCCTCATTGGGTTTGTACTTGGATGCTTCTGTTGGTTCAAGGCCCCAAGCCGTCAACATACGTCCTAAACTGGGAGCATTGCCTGGATCAAGACGTTCATAAGCCTGATTCAAACGCTTAGCACGATCATCCAAATCCTTTTGATCCTTGGTCTGTTTCACATGTGTTTTCATCCAAGCGTTGATGGACTGAATTGTGTGAGACCTTGGGGCCTCAGTCTCCAACCTGGCTTTTGAATCTCCCAGCCCAAGTTCCTTGATTTCGTTGAGGGCGTGGGCATTTGCGTTTTCTGGGGCCTTTGAGAAACTCAGGGTGGTTTGACTTGGTTTCGAGTGATCTGGTGGCTTGTTGGCCCCTGAGCTTGGCTTGGGCGTGGGCGGTGGCACCTGATGGTCGCCTGGCGGGGCAGTCGCTACCTGAGTCTTGAGCTGCGCGTTTTCCATCTCCAACGCCCGAAGGCGGTCCATCATGGTACGGCTAGGATCTTCTGGAACAAGCTCAGCAAGGTGATCTACAACATACACGGCCAAAGCATTCAAGGCTTCTTTCCGGTTCTCCCAAACCGCAAGATCACTGGAAAGACCATTCTTTTGGGCAACAGATGAAAGTAAAACATTGAAGTCCATCTTTCGTTCCCTGATCATCTTACTCACAAAACTTGAAAATAGCATTCTTGCCTGCTCCTGAAGAGTTCAAGAAAACATGCCTTGCCATTTGCCAACAAACGTAGGGAAGGGACCAGTTTTGTGCTGGGTTGTGAAGAACATCAACTAACCGGAGATCCTGGAGGGGTTGTCCAGCCGTATGGTTGGCCCTAGAAACTGCAGTGCTAATGACCTGTCTAGGAAGAGCTAGGCCATAGACCAAATTCGTGTCCAGGAACTCCGCATTGTTAGTCCACGCTGAGGGAAGATCGAACTGTGATTCCCATGATGCATCCTTGTGCTGACGTGCCACCCTGCCTGTGTATGCTGGAAGTCCTGCTGGACGTCTGGATTCATGGTGGGAAACGCGTGACGACCTATGAGCGTCTCTTCGACTAGATCTGGATCTTCGTCCTCTGCGACGACCTCTTGAACGTGATCTGGAATCCATGCTGCCGTGTCACCCTATCCCTGCCTTGATCCTGAAATGACAGAGGTTACATGGTGTTGTAGGTTAAGAGCACACTCCAACAAGCACAAGTACAAGAAGGAAAGCACAAACAGAGGAAAACCAAAATGCTCAATAACCATGCCTGTAAGGTGGTGAAACCTATGCCAGTCTGTGTACCAGGTGCAGATTTCAGCCGTGTAGCTACCAATCTTGCGCTAACATGGGTAAGATCAGCAAAGTGACCCTAAGTAGAAAAGCAAAACCCGAAGATAATCTAAGACACAAGTTCAAACCCAAATGTCGGGGTACTCGGCTTAGCCCCAGCCATCCTACAAATCGTACTGCAACCATGACCAAGCGATCATTCGATTTTCACCTCATGTCGAAAGTCGTCTGTCTCAAGCATGCAAGACATGTAGCACCATCCTTCATTTGTTCTGCCCCTACTTCGATACGACTGACGAGCTCTTACCGTCATGACGGTCCCAGGTGGTCGCCAGACCTAAAGGCACAGCATTCTGGCACCGAATGGCCCATCTCTTCTCGCGAGTGTGATGAACTGCGTCCCAGAAATGCGCAGCTGCCCCTTCTGCACTGACACCACCAGAAGACATGGTAGCATAGCTCGTCTGCCGCGTTCCGAAAACACCAATGACATGTGATTCTTTGGTACTGGACTGCCGAAATGTTTGAAAAATCATGTCAACACGAAGTTTGTTCCAATTTGCAGCCGTCACTCCACTGACTGAAACCCTGCAGTAAAAAGATGGGCTGGGGGCATATTGGTTGCCCTGTACATCCTTTGATGAGGTGGGCAGTATCAACTTGTGTTTGAGAATCAGCCCCGCCACTCTATTACTGGTTCCATGTCCGAAGGGAAACATTTTCACAAAAGGCACTAGGGCTCCAGTGGGGTGAAGCTTCATTTGGACGGGCTCAGTGTAAGTTTCAAACACGGCTAAGCCACACAACTGATCTTGCCGGTACAAGGGAACAACTTCCGTCAGACGATTTTTCCAACCTTCAAAATAGTACAGGGATTCCAGCAATGGTGCCACTTGTTCTTGCGTCACAGATGCCAAGCCTCCTGCAAAACCACTACGAAACATCAACATGTTCAAGGCATTCACATCAACCGTACGGGCATCCATAGGACGAACAAGAGACAGAGATGGAATTTCATCAGCTGAAAGCAATCGATGGCTGTTCAATATGATGTCTTGGCACTCATGAAGGGCATCGCCTACATCTTCCCAAGCTTCCATACTTGCGGCAGGACAATCCCACTTTAGAATTGCTTTGCTGACCCAAAACTGGTTCGAAAACATGCCAGGCGGTGACAAAAATTCTTGCAGGAAAGGCTGGCCAGACTTGACCATAAAATCCTTGCCAGTCAACTCAAATTGTGCACTCAGGCACGTGTTCTCAAGTCGGTCTTTCCGGACTTTCCAAGGGACACCCCATGCTGTCCAGGTGAAAGAAAAGGGGTCATCCATCTTGTACACATGTTTAGTACGTGGAGGAGGAGGAAGAGAAGACAGATCCGAAGGGAGCCCTTGTGCCCACATTGGCAATGCTGGCGCCTTTGGACGCATACTTTCCCTCGAAGGTAGAGTACGTTGCGTCATCTGTAAAATGGGCTGAGCTGGGGCAGATAATGCGGACTGTGATCCCATAGAAATTGCCTGAAACATGCTCTGAACATGAGGGTCGGACAGAGTCGCTGTATCATACACGTCTATCTTGATCTGATCAGGCCGAACATTGATCGTCAGTTTTGGTGGCACTGGAGGTGGCAGAGCTTTGGACCTTGTCGCAGCTCCAGACTCAAATATGTCTTGGGGCCGGCTTCTCTCTCTACGTGGCACTGGTGAAACACTGATTCGTCGTCGATGGCCGCTTCGGCTACTTCTCGACCGTCTTCCATGGCGCAACCGCTCGGAAGGCATAGTTTTCAACCCTCTCAATAACAGAAAACACTGAAAAACAAAATCAAATACCATCCCCGAGCCGTTAGGTGTATCGGAGGGACAACTTCCAATCGCCCCAACATGATTCCCTGAAAGTATTTCATGGCATGTTCTTGTACAAGAAACTGTTTTCAACTTTTCACTTTCGTGAGCCCAACAACGTCAAAGGTCTGAAACTTGCATCGACACTCAGCATGATTTGCACGTGAGTCAATCCAGAAAGTTTGGATGGTTTGTCGAATCTGTGGAAGCTAACGAAAAAGACAGGAAGAAGCTTGAGAAAGAAACCAAAGAGGGAGTAAAACCTTGATGAATATATCGACGCGGCGCTTTGACGTCATCACGCATGTTGTAGAGACTGACACATGTGTTTATCATGTCCTCTGGACTGTCTACCTGGGAATCGTCCCGTGTTGTGACCTTCATCTCTTTGTATATATAAACAATCTGTTCATTACGACCTCTGGTCGGGAATTCCCTGACGCGATGGTCTAACCTGCTCTTTGAGCTTGACGGAGCTAGAGTAAGCTCTGCTATGTTGTTGGGCCCAGTTGTCACACAACAGGGCAAAGCCCCTGGGAGTCACGTGGCCCCAGGCACTGAACACACTGATGGGTGAGAATTGAAATTGTCAAGCCATATCCTGAGATGATAAAGTCGCGCCTGGACGACGTTGGCCATTCGCATGAAGACGAAGTTGAAGAAATTGACATGCGATCAGTCAAACATCAAACAGTTCAGCAGGATGCAAAAAGTCAGACATCAAACAGTTCAGCAAGATGCAAAAACGTCAAACGTCAAACTGTCAAACAAGTGAGCGATCACGAAACTTGAGTTGTATCACGTTGACCTGTATAAGTTAAAAACCGTCGACCCTGGTCTACCACAGTCCGACAGCAAACAACACATGAGACAAGTCCCAAGCAAGGTTGAAAGCAAGAATCGTACGACACGCGTTCCGCGCGAACGTTTTACATCCGTTCCTGACCATGACTCCTGTCATACCTGACCCCATCTATAGCAGGTACGTGCAGTTGATCAGACTGCATATCCCCTCCAAACATCAGTAGCTTCGTTGGCCACGGACTGATGAATGGAGCCGTGGCCCCCTGCTGTGGATCGAAATTTGCGCATGTACAGAAGGAAAGCCAGGCGAAGGTTGAAAAGGAATAACCAACGCTAGGTGAAAAGTTTCAGGTCACATTCATGAAAACAGCATGACAGCATGGAGTTGTTCCATTCCCTATGTTTCAAGGGTTTACACACACACACACCATGTATACTCCCACTCCCAGAACCCTTTGCAGCTTACTCACTTTTTCCTGGCCATCTGCATCCCATCTTGCATGGGACCCTCTGCAAAACTACCTAGCCTTGGGTTGCCTTGAAAAAACACTTTGGAGTACCAAGTAATTAGACGACATTTTTTCATGGTTTATCTACTTAAAGACGACAACCCAAGGCTAGTGGTGAACCTGGCACATCTTTTCCAAAATGTGCTTTCCAGCCCTGAGCTTTTCCAAACTCAGTGGCCAGCTTTCTTACTTGCAGCTGTGGAGCCTGCCTTGTTGCCCAAGTGCTTGAGCTCCTGGTTTCATCTCTGGCATCTGCCATCACTTTTGCCACCTTCATCAAGACCTCCTTCAGCTTCTTAACCTGGGGGTCCTTGGTTTGGAGGCAGGCCTTCAGCTGGTCAAAAGCTTCTCCAAGCTGAGTGACCAAGCTCATGGCATTGCTTTGGCCAGACTTGGACAATTTACCTTTTCCAAAGCCAGTTCCAAGCCTGCCTTGCAAGAGCTGACCATGTTCCTGGCTTTCTTGCAGGCTTTCAGAACCTTTTCCAAGTCGGTCTCCTGCTCTATGCCAGGCTTCTCCTTTTGCTCTCTTCTGTGTTTGCCTTTTCCAAGACTTTGGCCTTTGCCCTTGCCACCTTGGCCTTTTCCAAGACCTGGGCTGCTCTTTCCAGAGCCTTTGCCACTGACATCCAGGGTGAGGGAGGTCCAGTCCTTGGAGTAGAGTTCCAAAAACTTTTCCAAGTCTTCATCAGCAGGGTCCCACTCATTCCCCTGCTGGAACTCTTTGGACCTGGTCTGGGCCACTTCCCTTGACCAGTCCTGAGTATCTTTGTACTCACACACAGCCCAAGTGCCTGGACATTCTCTCCATCGGATCCTTCCAGAGGCAATGTGGGCATCCAGCTCCTCTGCACTCCACTTCTGCAGCATTTGCTTCTCACTGACCCATTGGTCAGTCTGCTTAAAGGTATCCTGGGTGCTCACCTTTTTCAAAGTGGCCATGTACTGCTTGCCCTCCTTTTCCAAGAGATGGGCAGCAGCTTGGATACCTTTGTCTTTCTTAGACAGGTTCTCATACTCTTCCTTTTCTGCATCAGATGCCTTTTTCAAAGCAGTCTGATGCTTGCTCCAAGCCTTGGCTTTCTCATTCTTGTCCATACTGTTGTACAATACAATTGCTGCATCTTCTGGGCTTGCAGCATCCTCAGTAGCAACTTTCATCTTTTCCTTCAGGCTCACTTTACCTAACTTTTCCAAATTAGATTTGGTGAGCCTTTTCTTTGGCTTGGAGCTAGGCTTTTCCAAACCTTTGCTCTTAGGCTTTTCCAAACCTTTGGAACCTTTTGACTGGTTCTTCTTCTTTTGCTTTGTCATTGTTTTCATACCTTTCATTACCATCTTGGGCGGCATTGTCTTTTCCACACCTATGCGAACTACAAACAAAAACATTTTTTGAGCCACCTTGCTGCAGAGGAAAACAACATGTTTGGAAAAGCATGTTGGGCAAGGCTTGATTTGCTTGCTGGTTTGGCAATTGGCAGTGTTTTGCTTTGTTGGTTTTTTATTGTCATGATTTGCATTGTATTCATTGCATGGGGTGTAGGTGTTCCATTTCTTGTTTTTTGTTTCCAAAAGGTTGGGTAGTTGTGTTGTAGTTTTGTTTTATATACTTTGAAAGTTGTCATTAGATTATGGTAACCGACAGAATTATGGAAAAAAAAACGTTCAACTTAGACAGGCGGCGCCTGCGTCCGATTTTTCCATAATTGGATTTTTCCCCATAAGGGTTCAAAATATCCCGGAAGTGATCCGAACCTTTTTTTTCCCATAGTTCTTGGAGGTGGCCATTATTTCCATAATTGATTTTTCCTTTGAAATCAGGGGGCTAGGGCAGATTGACCGGTTTTTCCATAATTATTTTTTCCATAATTATTTTTCCATAATTATTTATTCCATAATTCTGTCGGGTGCTGTAATTGTTTTGGATTGTAATTAATATTTTTTTAGATTTAGTGTTTATCATTTGCATAATAGATAAAAAATATAAAATTACATTTAATATAAATAATATGCAAATATAGTTAAATATATATATATATTTTTTCACACCAAATACAAAATAACTATTTTCACAACTTTAAATATTTGGTATTCAGTTCACCTTCAATTTATTATATCAATAATTATCATAAATAAAAACATAATTATTTTTTGTTGTGTTAATATACTTTCAAATAATAAATATGTTCTTTTATTCAATCTTTTCATTTTTTCAAAACTATTAAGATTCCACATTTTGACCAAATCTGACCAAATTTGACCAAATCATGGTTTTTTGTATATTTGGTCAAATTTGGTCAAATTTGGTCAGATTTGATTAGTCTTAAAAAAAAACAAAAATATTCTTGTATTTTTTATTTTGATTTATTTTAGAAAATAAAATATGATTCAACTATATTACCAAAAATATAAATAGTTAATTATTCAATATATATATATACATGCATATATAGATTTTTATTTTTAATATGTGTTCAAAAAATATATATATTCATTTATAAATTCTAATTTTCCTTTTCAATAAATACAGAGTAGTAAGCACCTACTCCAATTTAGTTCTTACTTTTCCAATATTTTTGTCACAAATAGAGTTTTTCTATACTTCATCAGATCTGGTGTTTTTTGGTTTTATTTTTTTATGAGTTTAACTTACGTAATTGAATTTGGTATATTCTACCTTCTTCTTTCCATAAATTCCACAGTTTGTGATGGAGGTAGATTTGGTTTAGGTTTGCTGTTGGTGTCTACTGATTTTTATTGATTTGAAAAACTGAATTATGAAATTGAGTAAAAAAATATAAACACTATTTTTTACCACAGATAATTGTAAATTATGGATATATGACTGGTGAACTCTATATATTTAAAACCAGTTAAATTTGAAAGTAAAATGAAGAAACCTAAAACTTAAACACTTATGATTACTTATCATATATATATATATTGAAATGTTTATGAATATATTAATATTTGAATATATACATATACAAACATCATTAATTTTTTTAACATTAATATTTAATATTTATTGTATAGTTATTTTATATATGTTTTTCCTTCTTTAATTCTGTTGGGTGGACCTGGCATTTTGCCAGGTCCACCAGGCCAAAAGCACAGTGGCCCTCCAGGCCACTGATCCCACTGTGGCCTTGCCCAGTGGGAGGTGAAACATCTGCAGGTAGGCTTTTCCAAACCCACCTTCACCTTGCAATCCTGAAGCTGCACCTTTTTGAGAAACATATAAAACTTCTACATATTTAAGTAAGCTTTGAGTTATAATTACTTTGCCACAGACTATGCTATGCTATCTTTGCTAGCCAAATTATATAAGTAAACAAACTCTTAAATTCTAATGAACCATTTCTAGGTGCAGCCTCAGGATTGCATCCCTCTCACAACAAAGGCTTTTCCAAACCTTTTTCATTTTGTTTTTTTGCTTTTCCAAGCCATGGCCTTGTGCTTTTCCAAACCCCAGGGAGGTGAAGCTTTTCCAAACTTCACATCTGCAAGGAGGCCCCCATGGATGCTGATCTTTTCCAACATCAGTCATCCTGGTGGGCCTGGAGGTAGGCATCCACAGCTGCTTTGAAGCTGGAATACCCACCTCCACACCACTGGTGGTCACACCATTTGGTGTTGCCGGGGTAGTGTTCCATATCCCAGGAGGCTGCCTCCATGCAGATGCTGGCATTGTCATCAAAAATGACATTGGCCCCCCACTGCCAAGCCAAATTCACTTTCCCCCCACTCCTGTTTTCTGCCAGCAAATTTCTTTTCCAAGAAATATGTGGTGGAAGGGGATGAGATCTCTGATCTCCACAGGCACTCCCTTGGCCCTGCCAGTGCTGGCAACATAGGACAGAATGATGACCTCAGCTTTTGTCCAGGAGTTGCTCCAAAGCAAAGAGGTCTTCACTGCTGACCCTGCCAGAGTTCTCCAAGGTCTGGTGCCAATCAACCATCACCTTGGGCTTGGCAGTAGGCTTGTCCAAACCCACTGTCTTGGACTTTTCCAAGTCCTTTCTCTGGCTTGCCTTGGCCTTGGCCTTGGGCTTGGCCTTGGACTTTCCCAAATCCTTGGCCTTGGGCTAGAATCCATGGCCTTCTGGAGCTCTTCCTGCAGCCTCTGCTGGCACCTTTTCTGGGCCTTTTCCAAGGCTTCCAGATGGCTGACCAAGTGGCTTGGGGAGCTGGGGTCTGCCTGCTCCAAGGCACTCCACTGTTTGTGGGCCCTCTTGGCCTGTCCCACTCCCCCAGGGCCTCCCTTTTTTGTTCTTGGGGCCCTTGGGGCCCTCTTGCTCTGCCATTGTCTTTTCCAAAACAATGGCAGCACAGGCTTTTCCAAACCTTTGGGGGGAGCAGGGAAAAGCTTTTCCAAACTTTTCCACCAGAAGAAAATGCTTTTCCAAACCTGGAAGGCCTTTTCCAAGACCACTAACAGCTCAGCTACACTACAAGGCGAAGGCTGTGGTGAAGTGTTGAGTGTTGTGGTGTGTGCTGTGCAGTGTAGTGTGTGCCCATACATGCATGGAACATATGCAGTGAGTGTTGTGCTGGTGTGGTGACTATACCGACTATACCTAATGGGGGTGCTTGCTATACATGCTTTGCTGTGTGTACCAACCTATGCTATGCTGTGGTGTTGCTGAAGTGCTGTGCATGCTGTGTGTTGAGCCACCTAAGCTTCAAACTGAAAACAGCTGCAGGAACAAACATTTATTCAACTTCTTTTGTTAGATAACAGCTTTGCAGTGTCCTCACCTGGAACTTGCTTACACCTCCAAACAGTGCAGCTCTTTTTTTCACAACAAAATTGTCCAAGTGAAACAGCTGAGCTAATAGGATAGTCTTTTCCAAAACCTCGACAAATGCTTGCCTTTTCCAAGACATAGCATGCATATATCTCTTGTCTTTTCCAAAACAAGAAAGCTGACAGCATATCAATTCTCTTGCATTTTCCAAAGCAAGAAAGCTTGACACCATACCTTGTCTTTTCCAAGACATGGCTGTGTCATGCTTATCTTTTCCAAGAATCATGGCACTTTCTTCAGGGCTGGTGCCTTTTCCAAAGCATCCAGGAGGTCACTTGGAGCCATATCTGCTCAGCAAACCAGCTCTCATTTCCAATGCCTCCTCCTTAGTCAAAGAATCCTTTTCCAAAGCTTCTCTGATCTTGCCAATAATGGCTTTGTAATGGGGTGACTGGTGGGCTTGAACAATCAAGTGCTTGGAACCACCCTTCACATTGCCCTGAATATAACTCCTCTCAGGGTTTGTGCCATGTGTTTGTATCAGCTTTTCCCATTCTTGTCTGTGGCCAGGTTGGGTACCCCTGGTCAGAACTTTTCCAAATTTTGCAGCTGGCTTTTTCATGACAGCCTTAGCCTTAGCCTTTCCAGGCTTTGGCTTTTCCAAACCATACCCCATGGCTTCATGCAGCCTGCTGCCTGGCCTTCTGTTGGCAAGCTGGGGAGATGCAGCAGGCTTCTTCAAGCCTGCCTCTTTTCCAAGAGGGCTTCTGAAAATTGCAGGCAAGCCTGAGGAGTCAAGGGGAAATCTCACTGTCATAAGCTTCCAATTTCCTTTTGGCCTTTCCAGGCCTCTGCTCCTCCTCTTCCTGCTCCACATGTTCAGCCCCTGGGTTCTCAGGCACCACCTCTGCATCCCCAGGGTCAGCATTTGGGCCAGGGGCAGTCTGCAGCTTTTCCAAGCCTTCCAAAAGACTTTGGTATTCAAGCCTTGTCAATTGGCAGACAGCTGGCCCCAAGGCATTTGTGCTCCTCCCCAACTGCCTTACATGCTTCAGCATGCAAATTGAGCCTCTCTATCTTGAGGTTTTCCCAGGCAGCACCACTATGCTTTCCAGAATTCAAGTCTGGAATAGTGGTCAGTAAGCTGATCAAGGCTTGCCTCAGAGGCTGGGAATGGATGCTGCCCTGTGGTGAGAGCTCTAGCAATCCAGCCCACAAGTCTTTCAGATCCAGGAGGGCTTTGGCATTAGGTGCTGCCTGGGAACTGACATGTTCATATGCCTTCATGTCAGCAAGCAACTTCTGGTGCTTTTCCAAGCACTTGTATAACAAGCCAACATCCACCCAAGGCTTGGCCTCATGCCTGGCACCTCCTTTCCCACCACCCATTCCCAAGTCTTTTCCAAAACTTGGGTGGGACTTGGGCCCTTTCCAGGACCTCTTTGCTTTCCACTGGTCCTTTCCAGGACCTCTTTGCTTTCCACTTGTCCTTTCCAGGACACCCCTTTCTAAACCCGTTTTCAATTTGTTTGCACTGCTAACAAAACTTTCAAGCCAAAAACAGCTGCATATGTTCCATGCATGTATGAGCTAGCTACACATGGCAAATCAATTGGCCATATTGATTCACTCCATAAAACACCCAAAAGCAAATCAATTAGCAAATCAATTAGCAAATCAATATGGAATCAATAACTAGACGACGGTTGGCCCGAGAGCGAAAAATATGTTTTTCAAGCAGCTTCGAGGATGGTAGTCGTAAAAGATAGTCGGTGAATAGTTGATGAATTTTATATGAGCTATGGAAAGATATGATGTGAAAAAGTAAGATTGATCAAGAAGAGAATATTTGGTAAAGGGCATCAGATGACATGTGTCTTGCAACCAGAGAGAGAGAGAAAGAGGGGGCAGAGATAAAGAGAGAGAGAGAGAGAAAGAGAGAGAGAGAGAGAAAGAGAGAGTGAGAGAGAGAAAGAGAAAGCAAGAGAGAGAGAGAGAGAGAGAGAGAGAATGAAAGGGGTGGGGTAGAAAGAAAACATGGAGAAATGTAATGTGAGCAACAAAAGTGCACAGGAGGCTCAGTGCCATGAGTCTGCGAATTACATGTGCTATCTTATTTTATTATGGTAATTCCCACACACATTGCGGAAAAAGGCGCGGCACCATCATTCCGTGAACGCGAAGAAACGCGACGCTTTTATACAGAGACACTTTTACACACAGAATCTTTTACACATAAACACTTTTACACACAGACGCTTTCACACAGAGACGTTTTTCATGCACACACACACACACAGACGCATTTCCACACAGAGACTTTTACACGAAAACACTTTAACACACAGACGCTTTTATACACAGACTCTTTTACACACATACGCTTTTACATGCAGATGCCTTTTTACAGACGCACACACACTTTCACACACAAACGCTTTTACACACAGACGCTTTTGCACACAGACACAGACGCTTTTCCACAAGGACCCTTTTACACACAGACGCTTTTACACACAAACACTTTTACATACAGGCGCTTTTACACACAGACGCTTTTACACTCAGACACTTTTACACACAGACGCTTTTCCACACAGACCCTTTTACACACAGACACTTTTACACACAAACACTTTTACACACAGACGCTTCCACAGAGACTTTTACACAGAGACGCTCACAAAGCGCGGCACCACTGGGTGACCTCAGTTGCAAACAAAGGTGCGCAAACATAGTTGCAATGGAAATGCTAAAAAATCGCAAAAGTGCACAAGACCAGGCTCAGTACCATGATCAACGCACAATCCAATGCAAGGCATCCGCTCTTTGAGATACAAAATAAGCTCGGCACCATGATGCCGTGGATGACCTCAGTTGCCAACACAGGTGGGCAAACATAGTCGCAATGGAAACGCTAAAAAATGCAAAAGTACACAAACAAAGGCTCCGTACCATGGCATCCAAGAGAATCTAGAAGTCCGTGCAAGAATGCTGCAAATGATTCCACAATAGCAAGTTCGATATCATGATGGCAAGGATGACACCTGTTTCACTGCATTTCTCCGATGTCCCTACAGGATGGAAAAAAATCTTTACAGACAAACAACAGTTGGCTACTGGTTTTGCATGTTCGTCACGAACAGTCTCTCCAGACGAACACTGCTACAGATTAATTTGCGCCAGTTGCACTCAGTTCCATGTGCCACTCGGTACGCAAGCCTTCCAGCTCCCACAAGCTGCTTCCAAGCAAAGGTCGGTATCATGATGCTGCAGATGTGGCATGTTTGCCGCTTTTACTACTGCAGCAATCCGGCTACTGCGGTCGATCTTTATCTGGGCACCCCCACGGACACGACCTAAGTTCCAGCATCTCTGTGAACACAGAAAGATCTTCCAGCCAGTCAGCAGGATGCTCATACTCGAGATTCACAACGCAGTCGTTGCAGTGCCCGCAGATGTAACATCTCTCGGCTGCCATTGTCCTCCAAACATATTCTATGCTTCTGACTGTTTTTTTGATATATTTCATATGATGATGACGAAAGTGTGGTATTGTCACGGTCATGACCTTTGCCCAGCCAGCAGAGACTTGCTGAGATGTCCAGCTATCGTCTGACTCGTTTGGATCGCCGGGTTCTTGGTTGGCACCACAGCAAATACAGATGGTGGTGTCTGCCTCCTTCCAATGACACATTTTTTTCAAAACAACCGGCCAACCACACACGCTTTCACACACAAACGCTTTTACACACAGCCGCTTTTACACACAGACACTTGTACAGAAACGAAAGCGTCCATCGCAATTTTTCCTCAGTTTTTGACGTCCAACGTCCATTTCGTGCGAAAGGGTTACGATTGACCAAGTAAAATCGCAATTTTTCCTCAGTTTTTGACGTCCAACGTCCATTTCGTGCGAAAGGGTTACGATTGACTAAGTAAAATCGTAATTTTTCCTCAGTTTTTGACGTCCAACGTCCATTTCGTGCGTAAGGGTTGCGATTGACAACTCAAAGTCGCAATTTTTCCTCAGTTTTTGACGTCCAACGTCCATTTCGTGCGTAAGGGTTGCGCGGGACACCTCAAAGTCGCAATTTTTCCGTTTTGACGTCCAACGTCCATTTCGTGCGAAAAGGTTGCGCGCGACGCTTCAAAGTCGCAACTTTTCCTCAGTTTTTGACGTCTAACGTCCATTTCGTGCGAAAAGGTTGCGCGGGACGCTTCAAAGTCGCAATTTTTCCTAGTTTTTGACGTCCAACGTCCATTTCGTGCGAAAGGGTTGCGCGGGACGCTTCAAAGTCGCAATTTTTCCTCAGTTTTTGACGTCCAATGTCCATTTCGTGCGAAAGGGTTGCGCGGGACGCTTCAAAATCGCAATTTTACCTAGGTTTTGGACGTCCAACGTCCATTTCGTGCGAAAGGGTTGCGTTTCGTGGCGCTCCGGCGGCACCGCCCCCGCCTTAAGAGAGAATAGAAGAAGAGCGAGAGGAGATCTGCAGATGTGAAGGTGTGAAGATCTAGATCTGCAGGTGTGAGGGTGTGAAGATCTAGATCTGCAGGTGTGAGGGTGTGATGATGTAGATCTGCAGATGTGAGGGTGTGAAGATCTAGATCTGCAGGTGTCAGGATGTGAAGATCTAGATCTGCAGGTGTGAGGGTGTGAAGATGTAGATCTGCAGATGTGAGGGTGTGCAGATGTAGATCTTCACACCCTCGATCTGCAGATGTGAGGGTGTGAAGATCTAGATCTGCAGGTGTGAAGGTGTGAAGATCTAGATCTGCAGATGTGAGGGTGTGAAGATCTAGATCTGCAGTGTGAGGGTGTGAAGATCTAGATCTGCAGGTGTGAAGGTCTGAAGATCTAGATCTGCAGGTGTGAAGGTGTGAAGATGTAGATCAGCAGATGTGAAGGTGTGAAGATGTAGATCGGCAGATGTGAGAGTGTGAGATGTCAGATCTGACAGGTGTGAAGGTGTGAAGATCTAGATCTGCAGGTGTGAAGGTGTGAAGATCTAGATCTGCAGGTGTGAAGGTGTGAAGATCTAGTATAACGGCTGCTTTTTTACGAAGAACCCTTCGCAGGCGCTCTCGGGAAAAATATCAATTGCCATCAATTGATATTTTGACTTTTCAAAAAATCAATTGCTCAGAGAGGCCAGATATTGATTCTAATCAATTAGGGATGCTCAGGGTACATCTATGCAGATGGTACACACACACGCCCCGCAACAGCGGGGCAGATGAAATGACAATGAAAGTGAAGTGAAAATGAACATGAAAAGAAAGTTACTTAACCAGGACGCGAAGAGGGGAACGCAGAAGAAGAGGGAAGGAGCAAACACCAACACAAACACACCTGGCCCAGAACGGGCAAACCCTGAAAAGGCAAGGAAAGAAAAAACGGAGGCCGACGGAAACGGAACCAGACTTGTTGGATGAAACCCTTTTCCAAGAGCTTCAAAGGACCATTTCAGCCATTCCCAGATAGGCTTCCAGGTTTGGGCTGTGGTGCAACTCTTAGGCCGGCATGCCAGCAGCATGTGCTGCTGCATTGACGGCATGTCCCCCAAGAGGCAACCCCAGCTCCAAACCATCAGGCTATCACGATTGTGGAACTCCACTCCATCCCCATGTAGAAACAATGGGATCACTCTGTCCCTCCAGTGCTTTTCCAAACACATGGGGTGGTCCCATATTCTATCATCTCCAACCTTCTCCACCCCAGCCCAGAATTTTTGCAGATTGTCTTTTCCAAGACAAAATACTTTTTGGAAGAACATTGGGTAATGCTCCCCCAAATGTGCAAAAAGGAGATGGGGCAAGAATAGGCTGGCCCAATCTTCCTTTTCCAAAGAAGATTTGGGATCCAGACATGGCACCTTGACCTGAAAAGGTTCAGGCAACATGATGTGAGGGCAAAACTGGTTTATGATTTGCTTATGGCAATTCCCAGTTTGTGCACGCCAGTTGCCCACCTTGGCCAGGGAAACCAGCTCTGGATGGTCAGCACCATCTTGCATGGCCAGGTGGGCTATCTCTCTGATCATAGTGGCTGAAAGAGTGCCACATGACCACAAAGACAAAAGCTTGTTGGCCAAGCCAGAGTGAGGTTCATCAGGCCTTTCCAGGCCATGATCAGTCTTTTCCAAAACTGATTTCTTTGCTACTTTCCTTCCAGATTGCATTTCCAGCTGCCATCCCCTTAATCTCTTGGGTTGGTCTTTCTTGGGAGGCTTTTCCAAACCCTTCATTATTCTTGCAATGCTTTTCCAAGCACTGGCAAACTGGCCGCTGGCTTTTCCAAACCCTAAGCTACCAACAAAACAAAATTTGATGCTCAAAATGGCTGCAGCAAACAGGGTAGGGTCATGCAACACCAACACACACAGACACACACACACATGTATACTCCCACTCCCAGAACCCTTTGCAGCTTACTCACTTTTTTCCTGGCCATCTGCATCCCATCTTGCACGGGACCCTCTGCAAAACTACCTAGCCTGAGGTTGCCTTGAAAAAACACTTTGGAGTACCAAGTAATTAGACGACATTTTTTCATGGTTTATCTACTTAAAGACGACAACCCAAGGCTAGTGGTGAACCTGGCGCATCTTTTCCAAAATGTGCTTTCCAGCCCTGAGCTTTTCCAAACTCAGTGGCCAGCTTTCTTACTTGCAGCTGTGGAGCCTGCCTTGTTGCCCAAGTGCTTGAGCTCCTGGTTTCATCTCTGGCATCTGCCATCACTTTTGCCACCTTCATCAAGACCTCCTTCAGCTTCTTAACCTGGGGGTCCTTGGTTTGGAGGCAGGCCTTCAGCTGGTCAAAAGCTTTTCCAAGCTGAGTGACCAAGCTCATGGCATTGCTTTGGCCAGACTTGGACAATTTACTTTTGGCCTTTTCCAAAGCCAGTTCCAAGTCTGCCTTGCAAGAGCTGACCATGTTCCTGGCTTTCTTGCAGGCTTTCAGAACCTTTTCCAAGTCGGTCTCCTGCTCTATGCCAGGCTTCTCCTTTTGCTCTCTTCTGTGTTTGCCTTTTCCAAGACTTTGGCCTTTGCCCTTGCCACCTTGGCCTTTTCCAAGACCTGGGCTGCTCTTTCCAGAGCCTTTGCCACTGACAGCCCTGGGCTTTTCCAAACTCAGTGGCCAGCTTTCTTACTTGCAGCTGTGGAGCCTGCCTTGTTGCCCAAGTGCTTGAGCTCCTGGTTTCATCTCTGGCATCTGCCATCACTTTTGCCACCTTCATCAAGACCTCCTTCAGCTTCTTAACCTGGGGGTCCTTGGTTTGGAGGCAGGCCTTCAGCTGGTCAAAAGCTTTTCCAAGCTGAGTGACCAAGCTCATGGCATTGCTTTGGCCAGACTTGGACAATTTACTTTTGGCCTTTTCCAAAGCCAGTTCCAAGCCTGCCTTGCAAGAGCTGACCATGTTCCTGGCTTTCTTGCAGGCTTTCAGAACCTTTTCCAAGTCGGTCTCCTGCTCTATGCCAGGCTTCTCCTTTTGCTCTCTTCTGTGTTTGCCTTTTCCAAGACTTTGGCCTTTGCCCTTGCCACCTTGGCCTTTTCCAAGACCTGGGCTGCTCTTTCCAGAGCCTTTGCCACTGACATCCAGGGTGAGGGAGGTCCAGTCCTTGGAGTAGAGTTCCAAAAACTTTTCCAAGTCTTCATCAGCAGGGTCCCACTCATTCCCCTGCTGGAACTCTTTGGACCTGGTCTGGGCCACTTCCCTTGACCAGTCCTGAGTATCTTTGTACTCATACACACCCCAAGTGCCTGGACATTCTCTCCACCGGATCCTTCCAGAGGCAATGTGGGCATCCAGCTCCTCTGCAGCCCACTTCTGCAGCATTTGCTTCTCACTGACCCATTGGTCAGTCTGCTTAAAGGTATCCTGGGTGCTCACCTTTTTCAAAGTGGCCATGTGCTGCTTGCCCTCCTTTTCCAAGAGATGGGCAGCAGCTTGGATACCTTTGTCTTTCTTAGACAGGTTCTCATACTCTTCCTTTTCTGCATCAGATGCCTTTTTCAAAGCAGTCTGATGCTTGCTCCAAGCCTTGGCTTTCTCATTCTTGTCCATACTGTTGTACAATACAATTGCTGCATCTTCTGGGCTTGCAGCATCCTCAGTAGCAACTTTCATCTTTTCCTTCAGGCTCACTTTACCTAACTTTTCCAAATTAGATTTGGTGAGCCTTTTCTTTGGCTTGGAGCTAGGCTTTTCCAAACCTTTGCTCTTAGGCTTTTCCAAACCTTTGGAACCTTTTGACTGGTTCTTCTTCTTTTGCTTTGTCATTGTTTTCATAACTTTCATTTCCATCTTGGGCGGCATTGTCTTTTCCACACCTATGCGAACTACAAACAAAAACTTTTTTTGAGCCACCTTACTGCAGAGGAAAACAACATGTTTGGAAAAGCATGCTGGGCAAGGCTTGATTTGCTTGCTGGTTTGGCAATTGGCAGTGTTTTGCTTTGTTGGTTTTTTATTGTCATGATTTGCATTGTATTCATTTCATGGGGTGTAGGTGTTCCATTTCTTGTTTTGTGTTTCCAAAAGGTTGGGTAGTTGTGTTGTAGTTTTGTTTTATATATTTTGAAGTTGTCATTGGATTAATTGTTTTGGATTGTAATTAATATATTTTTAGATTTAATGTTTATCATTTGCATGAAAATATTTTCAATAGATAAAAAATATAAAATTACATTTAATATAAATAATATGCAAATATAGTTATATATATATAAATATTTTCACACCAAATACAAAATAACTATTTTCACAACTTTAAATATTTGGTACTTAGGAGTCGCCGGGAACTTAGGCACTTATAACTTCATTATAAGTCTTTCTATAAGTGGGTTAAGTGATTAGTAAGTTGATTATAAGTGGCTAACTGGGCTGTAAGTGATGTTGAGTTAGGTGGCACATACTATTGACTTAGGTGACTTATAAGTATATTGTATGCTAAGTGGATAGGACTTAGCTGGAACTTAGGCAGCACTTAGCTTTGGTTTGAAAACGTATGATTTTGCAACATTTTGGTGGCTTCAGGATTGAAGAGTGTATATTGTGCAGCCATTTGCAGTTCAAACATGTCGGTTGAAAAGCAGCTGGACGCTGCACAGAAATTCCTACGTGGAATTACGTCTTTGACGTCGTACGCGGAAGTCAGGGAGAAGCAGGCGCTTGGAGCGCAGCGATCGCTTGAAAAGGTTGCAGCCTTTAGCGTTGCCCAAGCGGCAACATGGCTAGGAACTTTGCAGGAAGAATTGTGGTCTAATTCCCAAGTGGAAACCTTTCGCGAGATCGTGGCACTGAAAGCAAGGCCTGTGGAGGCAGATTCCGGTCTCCTGCGAGGAGGACAGAGATGCTTGGTCGGAGCACCTTGCTTGGAATCGAAGGTACTTGGTGCACGATCTCCTCCGCGCCAGCAAGTGGCTGACGATCTTAGCATGGCACTTTTCGCTGCGACCAAACGGAAGGAGAGAGTTTCACTGGTGCAGAACCTGCGCTGCGCTTCTACGAGAAGCACGGCGCTGCTTACGGGCAGCTGACCTGCAAGGATTCTAAGTTGCATTCTGCAAGATTTAGTGCTATATTTTTTTGAAGTTTGCTGTGTCTGCGGATGTCTGCAAACGTCTGCCGATGTCTGCGGACAAAAAGCAGAGTTCATGCTGTCTGCGGAAGTTGTCTGCGGATTCGCGAGAAAAGCCTCTTTGTGGACTTGAATCTGCTGTCTGCGTGTGTCTACACAGCAAGAATCATGAGCAAATGGACATGGGAGTACGTCTGCGCTGTCTGCGGATGTCGGACGGGTGTTCAAGGTGTCGTTTGCACAATGTCTGCGGAGATAGCGATGAAAATGCTTTCCGGCTTACTTTTCTGTTCACCGTCGTTCTCTCCCGCAGCCATTTTTGTCATCAAATAGAAATTCCTCGGTGCAGCTTTCCGTTCGCTTCATACCCATTGATCCTGCCTACGTGGAAGAGATTTCGCAGATCAAAACGGGTCTGGGATGGTCATGGGCCTCTAAGACTCTAAGTGAGATTTATGCTATATAGCTAAGTCCCGCGCCTGACAGAGCCGAAAACAAGCATGCAGCCATGGCTGCATGATGATGATGGAAGCATGCACCCACGTGGTGTCGCTATACTGCAACTTAGCCTACGTGGACAGAAACCCTAGAGGAAGGTTTCTTTAGGATTGCCCTCATAGCAAGATAACGGTCCAGTGTAAAAAGTGAGATGGGAATCCGGGACACCTCGTGCAAACTGAACCCATGCGCTTGCTGCGTGAAGACCAAAACGGTCTCTGGCTGCTGCGCTAACAAAATTTCCATCGATGGCGGTGAAAAATAAGCAAATCCGATTCCGATGTTGGAACAAAAAAACCATTGATTCCCACAAAAGTATGCCACGTGATAAAAACGAGGAAAAACACTATCAAACAGTTAGCTTCACTTAGCGGCCACTTAGCTCACACTTAGCGACACCAAAACCTAAGTGCCACCTAAGTGACAGCTAAGTGGCTAAGTTGCCCGGCGACTCTATAGTATTCAGTTCACCTTCAATTTATTATATCAATAATTATCATAAATAAAAACATAATTATTTTTTGTTGTGTTAATATACTTTCAAATAATAAATATGTTCTTTTATTCAATATCTTTCATTTTTTTTCAAAACTATTAAGATTCCACATTTTGACCAAATCTGACCAAATTTGACCAAACCATGGTTTTTTTTTGTATATTTGGTCAAATTTGGTCAGGTTTGATTAGTCTTAAAAAAACAAACAAAAAATATTCTTGTATTTTTGTTATTTTGATTTATTTTAGAAAATTAAATATGATTCAACTATATTACCAAAAATATAAACAGTTAATTATTCAATATATATACATACATATATAGATTTTTCTTTTTAATATGTGTTCAAAAAATATATATTCATTTATAAATTCTAATTTTCCTTTTCAATAAATACAGGGTAGTAAGCACCTACTCCAATTTAGTTCTTGCTTTTCCAATATTTTTGTCACAGATAGAGTTTTTCTATACTTCATCAGATCTGGTGTTTTTTTGTTTTATTTTTTATAAATTTAATTTAAGTAATTGAATTTGGTATATTCTACCTTCTTCTTTCCATAAATTCCACAGTTTGTGATGGAGGTAGATTTGGTTTAGGTTTGCTGTTGGTGTCTACTGATTTTTATTGATTTGAAAAATGAATTATGAAATTTGGTAAAAAAATATAAACACTATTTTTTTACCACAGATAATTGTAAATTATAGATATATGACTGGTGAACTCTATATATTTAAAACCAGTTAAATTTGAAAGTAAAATGAAGAAACCTAAAACTTAAACACTTATGATTACTTATCATATATATATATATTGAAATGTTTATGATTAAATTAATATTTGAATATATACATATACAAACATCATTAATTTTTTTAACATTAATATTTAATATTTATTGTATAGTTATTTTTTTTATATGTGTTCCTTCTTTAATTCTGTTGGGTGGACCTGGCATTTTGCCAGGTCCACCAGGCCAAAAGCACAGTGGCCCTCCAGGCCACTGATCCCACTGTGGCCTTGCCCAGTGGGAGGTGAAACATCTGCAGGTAGGCTTTTCCAAACCCACCTTCACCTTGCAATCCTGAAGCTGCAGCTTTTTGAGAAACATATAAAACTTCTACATATTTAAGTAAGCTTTGAGTTATAATTACTTTGCCACAGACTATGCTATGCTATCTTTGCTAGCCAAATTATATAAGTAAACAAACTCTTAAATTCTAATGAACCATTTCTAGGTGCAGCCTCAGGATTGCATCCCTCTCACAACAAAGGCTTTTCCAAACCTTTTTCATTTTGTTTTCTTTGGCTTTTCCAAGCCATGGCATGGGGCTTTTCCAAACCCCAGGGAGGTGAAGCTTTTCCAAACTTCACATCTGCAAGGAGGCCCCCATGGATGCTGATCTTTTCCAACATCAGTCATCCTGGTGGGTCTGGAGGTAGCCTCCACACCACTGGTGGTCACACCATTTGGTGTTGCCGGGGTAGTGTTCCATATCCCAGGAGGCTGCCTCCATGCAGATGCTGGCATTGTCATCAAAAATGACATTGCCCCCCCACTGCCAAGCCAAATTCACTTTCCCCCCCACTCCTGTTTTCTGCCAGCAAATTTCTTTTCCAAGAAATTTGTGGTGTATGGGGATGGGATCTCTGATCTCCACAGGCACTCCCTTGGCCCTGCCAGTGCTGGCAACATAGGACAGAATGATGACCTCAGCTTTTGTCCAGGAGTTGCTCCAAAGCAAAGAGGTCTTCACTGCTGACCCTGCCAGAGTTCTCCAAGGTCTGGTGCCAATCAACCACCACCTTGGGCTTGGCAGTAGGCTTGTCCAAACCCACTGCCTTGGACTTTTCCAAGTCCTTTCTCTGGCTTGCCTTGGCCTTGGGCTTGGCCTTGGACTTTCCCAAATCCTTGGCCTTGGGCTAGAATCCATGGCCTTCTGGAGCTCTTCCTGCAGCCTCTGCTGGCACCTTTTCTGGGCCTTTTCCAAGGCTTCCAGATGGCTGACCAAATGGCTTGGGGAGCTGGGGTCTGCCTGCTCCAAGGCACTCCACTGTTTGTGGGCCCTCTTGGCCTGTCCCACTCCCCCAGGGCCTCCCTTTTTTGTTCTTGGGGCCCTTGGGGCCCTCTTGCTCTGCCATTGTCTTTTCCAAAACAATGGCAGCACAGGCGTTTCCAAACCTTTGGGGGGAGCAGGGAAAAGCTTTTCCAAACTTTTCCACCAGAAGAAAATGCTTTTCCAAACCTGGAAGGCCTTTTCCAAGACCACTAACAGCTCAGCTACACTACAAGGCGAAGGCTGTGGTGAAGTGTTGAGTGTTGTGGTGTGTGCTGTGCAGTGTAGTGTGTGCCCATACATGCATGGAACATATGCAGTGAGTGTTGTGCTGGTGTGGTGACTATACCGACTATACCTAATGGGGGTGCTTGCTATACATGCTTTGCTGTGTGTACCAACCTATGCTATGCTGTGGTGTTGCTGAAGTGCTGTGCATGCTGTGTGTTGAGCCACCTAAGCTTCAAACTGAAAACAGCTGCAGGAACAAACATTTATTCAACTTCTTTTGTTAGATAACAGCTTTGCAGTGTCCTCACCTGGAACTTGCCTACACTTCCAAACAGTGCAGCTCTTTTTTTCACAACAAAATTGTCCAAGTGAAACAGCTGAGCTAATAGGATAGTCTTTTCCAAAACCTCTACAAATGCTTGCCTTTTCCAAGACATAGCATGCATATATCTCTTGTCTTTTCCAAAACAAGAAAGCTGACAGCATATCAATTCTCTTGCCTTTTCCAAAGCAAGAAAGCTTGACACCATACCTTGTCTTTTCCAAGACATGGCTGTGTCATGCTTATCTTTTCCAAGAATCATGGCACTTTCTTCAGGGCTGGTGCCTTTTCCAAAGCATCCAGGAGGTCACTTGGAGCCATATCTGCTCAGCAAACCAGCTCTCATGTCCAATGCCCCCCCCCTTAGTCAAAGAATCCTTTTCCAAAGCTTCTCTGATCTTGCCAATAATGGCTTTGTAATGGGGTGACTGGTGGGCTTGAACAATCAAGTGCTTGGAACCACCCTTCACATTGCCCTGAATATAGCTCCCCTCAGGGTTTGTGCCATGTGTTTGTATCAGCTTTTCCCATTCTTGTCTGTGGCCAGGTTGGGTACCCCTGGTCAGAACTTTTCCAAATTTTGCAGCTGGCTTTTTCATGACAGCCTTAGCCTTAGCCTTTCCAGGCTTTGGCTTTTCCAAACCATACCCCATGGCTTCATGCAGCCTGCTGCCTGGCCTTCTGTTGGCAAGCTGGGGAGATGCAGCAGGCTTCTTCAAGCCTGCCTCTTTTCCAAGAGGGCTTCTGAAAATTGCAGGCAAGCCTGAGGAGTCAAGGGGAAATCTCACTGTCATAAGCTTCCAATTTCCTTTTGGCCTTTCCAGGCCTCTGCTCCTCCTCTTCCTGCTCCACATGTTCAGCCCCTGGGTTCTCAGGCACCACCTCTGCATCCCCAGGGTCAGCATTTGGGCCAGGGGCAGTCTGCAGCTTTTCCAAGCCTTCCAAAAGACTTTGGCATCCAAGCCTTGTCAATTGGCAGGCAGCTGGCCCCAAGGCATTTGTGCTCCTCCCCAACTGCCTTACATGCTTCAGCATGCAATTGAGCCTCTCTATCTTGAGGTTTGCCCAGACAGCACCACTATGCTTTCCAGAATTCAAGTCTGGAATAGTGGTCAGTAAGCTGACCAAGGCTTGCCTCAGAGGCTGGGAATGGATGCTGCCCTGTGGTGAGAGCTCTAGCAATCCAGCCCACAAGTCTTTCAGATCCAGGAGGGCTTTGGCATTAGGTGCTGCCTGGGAACTGACATGTTCATATGCCTTCATGTCAGCAAGCAACTTCTGGTGCTTTTCCAAGCACTTGTATAACAAGCCAACATCCACCCAAGGCTTGGCCTCATGCCTGGCACCTCTTTTCCCACCACCCATTCCCAAGTCTTTTCCAAAACTTGGGTGGGACTTGGGCCCTTTCTAGGACCTCTTTGCTTTCCACTGGTCCTTTCCAGGACCTCTTTGCTTTCCACTTGTCCTTTCCAGGACACCCCTTTCTAAACCCGTTTTCAATTTGTTTGCACTGCTAACAAAACTTTCAAGCCAAAAACAGCTGCATATGTTCCATGCATGTATGAGCTAGCTACACATGGCAAATCAATTGGCCATATTGATTCACTCCATAAAACACCCAAAAGCAAATCAATTAGCAAATCAATTAGCAAATCAATATGGAATCAATAAAAATATCAATTGCCATCAATTGATATTTTGACTTTTCACAGAATCAATTGCTCAGAGAGGCCAGATATTGATTCTAATCAATTAGGGATGCTCAGGGTACATCTATGCAGATGGTACACACACACGCCCCGCAACAGCGGGGCAGATGAAATGACAATGAAAGTGAAGTGAAAATGAACATGAAATGAAAGTTATTTAACCAGGACGCGAAGAGGGGAACGCAAAAGAAGAGGGACGGAGCAAACACCAACACAAACACACCTGGCCCAGAACGGGCAAACCCTGAAAAGGCAAGGAAAGAAAAAACGGAGGCCGACGGAAACGGAACCAGACTTGTTGGATGAAACCCTTTTCCAAGAGCTTCAAAGGACCATTTCAGCCATTCTCAGATAGGCTTCCAGGTTTGGGCTGTGGTGCAACTCTTAGGCCAGCATGCCAGCAGCATGTGCTGCTGCATTGATGGCATGTCCCCCAAGAGGCAACCCCAGCTCCAAACCATCAGGCTATCACGGTTGTGGAACTCCACTCCATCCCCATGTAGAAACAATGGGATCACTCTGTCCCTCCAGTGCTTTTCCAAACACATGGGGCGGTCCCATATTCTATCATCTCCAACTTTCTCCACCCCAGCCCAGAATTTTTGCAGATTGTCTTTTCCAAGACAAAATGCTTTTTGGAAGAACATTGGGTAATGCTCCCCCAAATGTGCAAAAAGGAGATGGGGCAAGAATAGGCTGGCCCAATCTTCCTTTTCCAAAGAAGATTTGGGATCCAGACATGGCACCTTGACCTGAAAAGGTTCAGGCAACATGATGTGAGGGCAAAACTGGTTTATGATTTGCTTATGGCAATTCCCAGTTTGTGCACGCCAGTTGCCCACCTTGGCCAGGGAAACCAGCTCTGGATGGTCAGCACCATCTTGCATGGCCAGGTGGGCTATCTCTCTGATCATAGTGGCTGAAAGAGTGCCACATGACCACAAAGACAAAAGCTTGTTGGCCAAGCCAGAGTGAGGTTCATCAGGCCTTTCGAGGCCATGATCAGTCTTTCCAAAACTGATTTCTTTGCTACTTTCCTTCCAGATTGCATTTCCAGCTGCCATCCCCTTAATCTCTTGGGTTGGTCTTTCTTGGGAGGCTTTTCCAAACCCTTCATTATTCTTGCAATGCTTTTCCAAGCACTGGCAAACTGGCTGCTGGCTTTTCCAAACCTTAAGCTACCAACAAAACAAAATTTGATGCTCAAAATGGCTGCAGCAAACAGGGTAGGGTCATGCACCACACACACACACCATGTATACTCCCACTCCCAGAACCCTTTGCAGCTTACTCACTTTTTCCTGGCCATCTGCATCCCATCTTGCATGGGACCCTCTGCAAAACTACCTAGCCTTGGGTTGCCTTGAAAAAAACTTTGGAGTACCAAGTAATTAGACGACATTTTTTCATGGTTTATCTACTTAAAGACGACAACCCAAGGCTAGTGGTGAACCTGGCGCATCTTTTCCAAAATGTGCTTTCCAGCCCTGAGCTTTTCCAAACTCAGTGGCCAGCTTTCTTACTTGCAGCTGTGGAGCCTGCCTTGTTGCCCAAGTGCTTGAGCTCCTGGTTTCATCTCTGGCATCTGCCATCACTTTTGCCACCTTCATCAAGACCTCCTTCAGCTTCTTAACCTGGGGGTCCTTGGTTTGGAGGCAGGCCTTCAGCTGGTCAAAAGCTTCTCCAAGCTGAGTGACCAAGCTCATGGCATTGCTTTGGCCAGACTTGGACAATTTACTTTTGGCCTTTTCCAAAGCCAGTTCCAAGTCTGCCTTGCAAGAGCTGACCATGTTCCTGGCTTTCTTGCAGGCTTTCAGAACCTTTTCCAAGTCGGTCTCCTGCTCTATGCCAGGCTTCTCCTTTTGCTCTCTTCTGTGTTTGCCTTTTCCAAGACTTTGGCCTTTGCCCTTGCCACCTTGGCCTTTTCCGGCTGCTCTTTCCAGAGCCTTTGCCACTGACATCCAGGGTGAGGGAGGTCCAGTCCTTGGAGTAGAGTTCCAAAAACTTTTCCAAGTCTTCATCAGCAGGGTCCCACTCATTCCCCTGCTGGAACTCTTTGGACCTGGTCTGGGCCACTTCCCTTGACCAGTCCTGAGTATCTTTGTACTCATACACACCCCAAGTGCCTGGACATTCTCTCCACCGGATCCTTCCAGAGGCAATGTGGGCATCCAGCTCCTCTGCAGTCCACTTCTGCAGCATTTGCTTCTCACTGACCCATTGGTCAGTCTGCTTAAAGGTATCCTGGGTGCTCACCTTTTTCAAAGTGGCCATGTACTGCTTGCCCTCCTTTTCCAAGAGATGGGCAGCAGCTTGGATACCTTTGTCTTTCTCAGGCAGGTTCTCATACTCTTCCTTTTCTGCATCAGATGCCTTTTTCAAGGCAGTCTGATGCTTGCTCCAAGCCTTGGCTTTCTCATTCTTGTCCATACTGTTGTACAATACAATTGCTGCATCTTCTGGGCTTGCAGCATCCTCAGTAGCAACTTTCATCTTTTCCTTCAGGCTCACTTTACCTAACTTTTCCAAATTAGATTTGGTGAGCCTTTTCTTTGGCTTGGAGCTAGGCTTTTCCAAACCTTTGCTCTTAGGCTTTTCCAAACCTTTGGAACCTTTTGACTGGTTCTTCTTCTTTTGCTTTGTCATTGTTTTCATACCTTTCATTACCATCTTGGGCGGCATTGTCTTTTCCACACCTATGCGAACTACAAACAAAAACATTTTTTGAGCCACCTTGCTGCAGAGGAAAACAACATGTTTGGAAAAGCATGTTGGGCAAGGCTTGATTTGCTTGCTGGTTTGGCAATTGGCAGTGTTTTGCTTTGTTGGTTTTTTATTGTCATGATTTGCATTGTATTCATTGCATGGGGTGTAGGTGTTCCATTTCTTGTTTTTTGTTTCCAAAAGGTTGGGTAGTTGTGTTGTAGTTTTGTTTTTTATATTTTGAAAGTTGTCATTGGATTAATTGTTTTGGATTGTAATTAATATATTTTTTAGATTTAATGTTTATCATTTGCATGAAAAATATTTTCAATAGATAACAAATATAAAATTACATTTAATATAAATAATATGCAAATATAGTGATATAAATATATATATATCTAAATATTTTCACACCAAATACAAAATAACTATTTTCACAACTTTAAATATTTGGTATTCAGTTCACCTTCAATTTATTATATCAATAATTATCATAAATAAAAACATATTTATTTTTTGTTGTGTTAATATACTTTCAAATAATAAATATGTTCTTTTATTCAATATTTTTCATTTTTTCAAAACTATTAAGATTCCACATTTTGACCAAATCTGACCAAATTTAACCAAATTTGACCAAATCATGGTTTTTTGTATATTTGGTCAAATTTGGTCAGGTTTGATTAGTCTTAAAAAAACAAAAATATTCTTGTATTTTTTTATTTTGATTTATTTTAGAAAAATAAAATATGATTCAACTATATTACCAAAAATATAAACAGTTAATTATTCAATATATATACATACATATATAGATTTTTCTTTTAAATATGTGTTCAAAAAATATATATTCATTTATAAATTCTAATTTTCCTTTTCAATAAATACAGGGTAGTAAGCACCTACTCCAATTTAGTTCTTGCTTTTCCAATATTTTTGTCACAGATAGAGTTTTTCTATACTTCATCAGATCTGGTGTTTTTTTTGTTTTATTTTTTATAAATTTAATTTAAGTAATTGAATTTGGTATATTCTACCTTCTTCTTTCCATAAATTCCACAGTTTGTGATGGAGGTAGATTTGGTTTAGGTTTGCTGTTGGTGTCTACTGATTATTATTGATTTGAAAAAATGAATTATGAAATTGAGTAAAAAATATAAACACTATTTTTTACCACAGATAATTGTAAATTATAGATGCAGTGGGCGCCTAGCAGTTAGAATTCGTAAAACATGGTGACAAGCACTTAGAATTGCGCCTCAGTGATACTTAAATCATGCACTTAGAATTGCCCACAGTGATGCCCAAGTCATGCACTTAGAATTAAAAAAATTGGAAAAATCCTGCACTTAGAATTGTATCAAACTTTGGTGGCCCCAAATCATCCATTTTTGAAGGATTTTCCACTGAAAATCATCAATTTTTGAAGGATTCCCCCTGGCTCAGTGCTTCGCTCCTCATCTGTTTTTCCCGCCAATTGTGAAGTCTTTCATCGTCTTAATCTATACTAGTGGACTAGCACATAGAATATCCGATTTCATTCACTATGCAGTTAAAGTAGCCTTAAAATCATATGTCCCCGGGGTAAAACCTCTGCACTTAGAATATTCCATTTTTGCACATGTATAACATAATTTAAAAATAAAGCATTGTTTTAATAGAAATTTAGGACTGTTTCACAAAATCGATGCACATAGAATATTATTTGCATGCGTTCCTATGTGCAATGGGGATGCTTTGTACATGTAAACATGATAAACATGCATGTACATATGTATATATGTATGTATATAGAAGCTAGCTAGCAGCTATTTAGAAGCTATTCAGTAACTATTTGGAAGCTATTTAGCAGCTAGCTAGCAGCTATTTAGAAGCTATTCAGCAACTATTTGGAAGCTATTTAGCAGCTTTTTAGCACCTATTTAGTAGCTATTCAGCAACCATGTGAAC